GTGTGTGTGTGTGTGTGAATCACCAAACCAGGATCTAGACAATAAAGACGTATCTTATCTTATCTTATCTTATCTTATCTTATCTTATCTTATCTTATCTTATCTTGTGTAACAGACAACACAGTTTCTAGAAGGTCATAACATGAGTGCCACGGACGGGCCAGCGTTCCTACCGCACATGACCCCAACAGCGCACATCTGGGATTACCTGAAACGCAAAGTGCAAGATATAACTTATAAACCTTTTTGCGAATCTGCGCTGATGCAAAAGAGGAGCATAATTTCTTAACAAAACGTTGCAATAACCAATATAAGATCCTTGTGAAAACTTGTCTTGCTCATTCAAGTTACTATGGATGAGAGACCCTTATTAAACTTCGATTTGTGCTTATCTGCAAATGTGTCTAAAGGGGGTACTCCGAAAGAAGTAAGACCACATATCGAAATCAGTTGAAGTATGTGATTGAAATGACTCACATGGATTGGAAATAAATGAATAAACTTCGTTGCAAACTTCTTTTAAAATCTGTCTTCATTTGACACAAGCGTGTAGGCCTACAGACTCTGCGAGGGGGGCTCTCGTGGCCTGGAGGTCCCGGATTCGAATCCGGGTAGCGACCGAAAAATGTTCTACTCTAAAATTGTCTCCTTTCACCTCCTTTCCTGCTCTCTAGCCAGATTCTGTCGTCTGCTTTCGTCTCCACTTTCTGCCCTCACCCCATCAAGTCCTTTGCCCCCGCCTCTAGGCTCATAACTTTTTTCTGCAGCCTTTCTACTGCTTCTCCTTGGCTCCTTCTTACTTCTTTCTTTCAGCCACCTCCCTGATCTTCTGGTAGGAAAGATCTACGCTTAGCCTTCTCGGACAAGGGCGAAAACTCTCGGAGGGCTCGTGTGCAAGTTGCGCACGCTCAGGATCCCTTGGTGGTCTAAAATCGATAAGAGCAAAATTCAAAATTTCCTACCAACTGAAAAAGTTAGGTGTGTCCCACGCGCTCAAAGGACCGTATGCAGTTGCGAGCGCCGTAAAACACTTACAACAACAAAAAAAAAGAAGAAGAAGAAGAAGAAGGCTCTGCGAACGGAGTGCTGCGTTTTTAAAATAGGGTTCAGTATAGATCTATATATATTTACCATATCTCTGCCTAAGATCCCACCGCTTATGATCCAGTTCGCCTTAGATCCCGCTATTTTAAGAAAACATCATTTATACTCTACAAAAGTCACCCTGAGATCCCGCTCCGAAGGTCTACATTTGGCTACATTCGACTAAGATCCTGCATTTCTGATCATTATTACTGACGGAACAAGTGACCAAAAAGCGCAGTGGACGCGGGGCCTTATGGCGAGCAAAGAGTAATCAACCTTGGTGATCAAGCGCCGTGGCATGAGGCATAGATCTACCCTGACTCAAGATTTACATTCATCCTAACCTAGCCTATTTTAGCTCTCCCGAGAACGAAATAATCTAGATCTAGATCTAGATCAAGTGCTTTAATTTCGTTTTTTTGCTGTTTTTCAGCTCAAATCTGCTATTGTACAACCTATTAGATTATAATGAGATACAACTTTATTGATAATGTAAAATGCAAGGAAGAAGCAAAAATGTACTTAAAGATGTAAATTTCCTTCTAAAATGAGTCGAATCGAGGCTTCTTAGTCACCTGTAAACGGCTGACGAAAAAGCGTGCACGCAGGAAAATCATGCAGTAGTCAGGCAAAGGCAGTCAGTGACTGACAAAAACAAGCTCATTTGCATGTGAGCTTGGCCTGCAAATGACGAAAAAGCGCAGTGGACGCGGGGCCTTAGTCATAAACCTATACGTTCTTATACTACCGTCTAGTCATAAACCCAAGAGGGGTCACGTCAGTTCGTTCTAGAGGTAAAGGGAAATCATTTTGCCTTTTGTGAGCTTGAACATAGGTCACCGTGTATTCTTCCTTTGGTGCGTCGACTAAAATCCTGTTCGCCTATTAATATTAAGATCCCACATTTTCCTTGCTCCCGAGCACCGGGATCAGAGAGGGTGACCGGGATCTTAGGTGGAGACTACTGACTACAGTATGAATATTATGCATTGTATGTTGTTGTTGTTGTTGTTGTTGTTGTTTTTTTGTTTTTTTTTTGGGGGGGGTTATAAATGTTTTACGGCACTCGCAACTGCATATAAAATCATATGAGCACGCGGGACACATTAAACATTGTATACTTAAAAAGCAATGAGGGAAATGGAATGTGGTCGCTTATACAGTAGTTTGAG